CTTTTTGCTCAGCTGCTCTTTAAAGTGCCCAAGTGTCAGACTTGGGGGCCTTTAACAGTCTCCTGGAGGGAATTTCTTCTCCACAGAAGAACTACATCACTACGTCAATTTTTACTTATATCAATGCTCCTGATTGTATTATTGCAAGTAAGTTAACTTCTGAGGTGACCCTTTTTAGTCAGAATGATAAATAAAGGGATAGGAGAGTCTGGATTGCAGAGAAAAATGTATCTAACATTGAATTTTTAAAAGCCTTTTCATGTTAGCATTTTGAATCAGCACTATTAAACACTCCACAGTAGCTTTGCTTTATAGGAGAACACATTATTGTGAGATTGTTTCACATATAGAGACATTAAATGGATAAACATCAAACTGAACAAGTATGTTACTAACATACTTAGTAACAAAAAATCTTAAAGATCGAGATATGCACTATAAGATGGAAGAATTTCAAAATGAGTTAATAGCTTAGCTGGTATTCCATTCTACCATTCAAAGGTTGGATAGAAGAAATTCATTCAAAATCTTTACATTTCCTTTACATTGGCAGATTAAAGGTTTGACTTGCCTTGGAGAGTTCCCTTGGCAAATTCCTCCATAATGAGAAACAGTTGCATCACTGGGGACAGCTGGATCTGCATCTTTAGCCCATGATTTGTGTACACAATAATGTAGAATGATGATGGCTGGAAAACTGAGAAACTACCTGGAAAACCAAAAGTAAAGTCTAGTCATCTTCTGTCAAATATAATCAATGTGTCCTCATTCTTTAACGTGAAGGGGGGGAAATAATAGTCAACTGAAGTGTCTTTCTCCAGGAGAGTAAGAATAGTTAACTAGTATGTTGATGTTATTTCTTATGGGGAAGAAGATGGGAAATAAATCAAAGAGTCATGAATTATAAGTCATTATTAAGCACATTACTCTCAGGGATAAGTATGTACTGAATTTATCAGAAACACATCTCAACCTCCCTTTTCAATATCTCTTTTATTACATTACATTTGATGGTATCCCATCAAATATAATGCAATAATAGACCCTTTTGTTCTTAACTTGTTTAATATCTTAAAGCCAAAACAGAAGGCTGTCTAGACCAATCTAGGCAATGCTGGGATATGTAGAAGCAATGATTCCCTTCTTTACCTGTTCTGTATGGCAAATGAATCTCATTGTCATTCAGCAATATAGTGCCATCTGATTTGAAAACTACAACCTGTGTGAGAGAAAATACAACCTATTATGTCAGTACAACTTTATGGGGATCCTTAAAACAGAACGTAATCTTAAATTAATATGAATAAACTGTGAAGTGTTGAAGAGAAATCATTCTTCCGTATTTAGAACCATAGAAATGAAACACTAGCGTTCTTCAGATAGATTATAGATATCCAATTCAATGGTTTAGGAAAAATTGAGAAATAGTTTAATCAACATTGTAAGATCTGAACAACAGAACACATGATCCCAAGCAAAGAAATATTATTTGATTGGAAGGCAATATCTGCAAGTTTAGTTGCTGAAGCAAAAACAGAATATTTTTAAAGTATATGAATGATATACAGTATAATATACATTTTAGAGATGATAGTTTTGATTGGCTATATGCCAATTTAAATAGAAGATAGATAGATAGATAGATAGATAGATAGATAGATAGATAGAT